AGCATCGGCCGCTGAAGCGTCAGCCCCGCGAGGGCCGAGGAAGGCGGAGGCCCGGCCCCAGGGTCTGAGGAGTGCCGGCCTGAAGGCCACAGGCCCGAGTGACAGGGTGGCCCCCCGATAGCTCCGAGATTGGGGTGATCGAGAAACCGGAGTTGGGCATCTGCTTTCGACTTGAAGGGCGGTGGCCGCCGGGCACCGGCACAGTGGAGGCACGCCGAATTGTTTTAATTTCTGTCTTTTCATCTGGTATTATTACCAGTTAACGAACTTTTTGCCCTGATGCTTTAAAGAAACAAGGTCTGATGGGTAAATCGAGGTTCTGAACAGCGGTGCCAAGGAGTCGAGTAATTTTGTTTCTTGAAGTAGGAGAGGATAGGAATGTCAGGAGTGTGTAAATTCTCTTCCTACGTATCTAGTATTTTGATGGCTTATTTAACAGCTGTTGAATGTGGATGATAAACTTTGCAAGGTTAACGAGTAACATCCTACGTTTTTCCCCTCGCTCCTCAATACACGCGCTCATTCCTTTGCTTTTTCCCCTTAATTTTTCTCTGGAGCCCTTATGTCTCAGTAAATATACAAATTATTTTGCTCCTGCCTTGTTTTGTCTCCTCTCTCCTGCATGTAACAAGTGAGAGTAGAGGTTTTGGAGTATTTTTAAGAGTCTGTATTTCCAGGGTCTAGGATAGTGCCTGGGACATAGGAGTGCTTAAAAAAATATGAGCGACGTTAAGAATCCTTGAGAAAACCTAATGCAGTGACATCACCAGTGACCAAAAGGTGAATACTTTTTTTTTCATGGAGCCTTTTTTTTTAAATTTTAAAATTAAATAATATTTTAACCTTATTTTCGCCTCTCATCAAATGGGCTTTTCTGGATCTAGATACAGATATCATTTACTCCTGATGGTGTCGTGCATGTTTGAAACCACTGCTAAGGATGTAGCAGGTATAGTTAAAGGGTAGGTAGAAGGGAACTAACATTCTCAAGCTTTAAGTCTGGGCTGTGCCACCTACTTCCTGGGTGCCCCAAGTCTGAGTCTCAATTTTTCTGCTCTTTATAAGGAAATAACATCACCTGTACTGTTCTCCTCACAGCCATTTTTTGCAAGGTTCAGATAATATGGTGTGAAGGTAAATACAGTGCTAGGCCTGATGCGCTGGCTCACGCCTGTAAGTCCCAACACTTTGGGAGGCCAAGGTGGGGGAATCACTGGAGTACAGGAGTTCGAGACCAGCCTAGGCAAGATAGGGAGAGCTTGTCTCTACAAATGATTTTTAAAAAATTAGCCAGGAGTGATAGCACGCACCTGTGGTCGCAACTGGGAGGCTGAGGTGGGATAGTTACTTGAGCCCAGGAGGTGGAGGCTGTAGTGAGCCAAGGTTTCACCACTGCATTCCAGCCTGAAGGACAGAGCAAGACACTGTCTCCAGAAAAAAAAAAAAAAACCCCAACGCTAAACATTTGTATTCACTTTCTGAATTTGATACTTATATATACTTTCTACTTTGATCTTAAAGTGATACTTTAATATATGTAGTATATTCAATTTTATGTAACTTGTCATAAACCATCTCCACATGTTAAGATTTCCTGACTTTAAAAACATATTTTAGGGGTACTGTGACCTGCAAGGTACATTTGCAGTGCTTTGAATGAAATGAAATATAAATCAGAAATTCTGACACATAGTATAACTTTGATTTTATATAAACTATCTTACGTTCTCTTACTATATTTCTAGGGAAGTCCACCACCTATACCTTGCCTCACATGTTAGTGATTTTTTTTAACAGTGGATTTTCACCTTTATATAAATTTGTAAAATTTGAAAATCTAAATAGACAAAAATACTAGAGGTTTTTTAAGTCAATTCAAAAGTGAGCGTTAAAATGATACACAAAAGTGAAGTTTCTGCGAGTTGTTCCTTTTTCTTACCATATGTTAAGGTGTTAGGATTTCAAAGCATGTTATCTATATATAGGAATGTGTAGATTAGGTTAGTTTTGCTATTCGACTTTTAAAACAATTGCTGCTGAATCTCAAAATTAACGTAATTATAGAATTACAGTACTTGTGCTAGAATAATAGAGAAATTGATTTTTTTTTTGCAGAACTGTTAATTAAGCCTGTTGTGCAGATACATTAAGGAAATGTCAGAGGATTTATGGTGAAATCGACAAAGAAATTAACAAAGAAAGAAATACTGTATTACTAGCCAAAATGAAGAAGCAATGCAGATACACTGTAAAAGCATGGATTCTGGAGCTGAAGGGATTCATGTTCAAGTTAGGGCTCTGCAGCTTGCTAACTGGGTGACCCTAAGGCAGCTCAGAACTGAAGTTTCCTCATCTGCAAAATGGGGCTTATTGGGTTAGTCTGATAATTAAATTAACCAATATGTATTAAGCCTAGTTCAATGCTTGGCTTGCAAGAGGCATGCAATAAGTGGTAGCTATTATTATTCTTTAAAAACTCACCAAAATTGGGAAGTAGAAAACATTTTTATGTGAGAGAAGGGCCTGGAATCTCTTTAGTTAGCATCTAAAGAGATTATACATACTGAAAAGGCTAACAAAGTAGTCTGTTTGGTGGTAATGTAAGAGTTTAATTTCCAGGGAACTTCACATTAATCAAAAATTGCGTGTAAATTTTAGAATCATAGTTTTATTACAGTCAGTATCTGTCCACATAATTCAAATCATAGTATACAATGAATGGCTTCATAGGAAAAATTGAATGGTCAAAAAATGTTAGGGATGCTTGGGAAGCTTTCTGAAAGTGAGGATGTGGAGGAGGGGTGAAAAATTAGGGGTTCACAAGAGACGTATTTCTTTTAAGGAGTGTATAAAGGAAATATATTCAAAAGGAAAGATATTCAAAATCTGCAAGTTCTTTATGCCATACAGATTTTGGGGATGTTTACAGTTTCGGCCATCTTGAAACAGTTTTCGAGGTTTGGGGGATTTTTTTCTTTTTCTTTCCTTTTTTTCTTTCTTTTCATGACAGGTAAGGTTTTCAGGTCATAACAAAGTTTGAGGGAGAGACACATCTCACATATAAGTGTGAAACCCCAATTGTCACATTTGTGAACTGCAAAAGGGTCTCTCTCTCTTTTTTTTTTTTTTTTTTTGAGACAGGGTCTCGCTGTGTTGCCTTGGCTGGAACTTGACCTCCTGGGCTCAAGTGATCCTCCCCTCTCAGCCACCTGAATGGCTGAGAGTACAGGCACGTGCCACTGAGCCCCACTGAAAGTGGAATTTGATATTCAGAATTGTCTTTACTTTTCAGGGATCCACTCCATGTAGTAGTCACATCTTCCTCTAAAACAAGAGCAAAATAGTTAACATCTCTATATAACAAGAAAAGATACCAAACCTCAACTAGTGACACTTAATTAAAGAAATGTTATTGTATTCATGACATTGTGTACAGCATAGAATTAGGTAATTCATTTCAGTTTCTGGTAACCTATTTAAAATGCATCTGAATAAGTCTCATTTCTTTTTTCATTTTTCCATTTTTGTAACTGGAGAGCAGTACTGTAAATGTTCAAAACTGTCATAAGCTCAGGTATTTTTACTTTTGAGTGCATTATATATCTCTGTAGCCTATTTATATTCTAAACTAACTTATCTTACTACTAATTAATTGTGGTATGAGTGTAACTGAAGCAATGCTAGCAGGGTGTGAGGCTTAGGAGGCCTGGAAATGGCTGGGAGCATGACTGCTGACTTAAACTTGAAACTTTTTGGAGTGTGTAGTTTACATTTTTCCTCTTCTTCTACTTAAAGTCACATACTAAACCAGCTGGAGGCCAAATTTTAATTTTATTTGGAAGCCTGGCTAAAAGGATAATCTAATTTTTGCTGCTTTTAGAATTTGATGCTAAATTTATCTTTGAAGAATCTCATTTGTTGTTTGTAAAGGACTCTTTTTGAGACGGAGCCTCGCTGTGTCACCCAGGCTGGAGTGTAATGGCGTGATCTCGGCTTGCTGCACCCTCTGCCTCCTGGGTTCAAGCAATTCTCCTGCCTCAGCCTCCCGAGTGGCAGGGATTACAGGCACCTGCCACGATACCCAGCTAATTTTTGTATTTTAGCTAATTTTTGTATTTGTATTTTTAGTAGAGACGAGGTTTCACCATGTTGGTCAGGCTGGTCTTGAACTCCTGACCTCAGGTGATCCATGCACCTCAGCCTCCCAAAGTGCCAGGATTACAGGCGTGAGCCACCGCACCCGGCCTGTAAGGGACTCTTTAACAAAGTGTTCTTAGGTATGACAGTGTAACTTCATATTACAAACTGGAAACAGGTATGTGGAGTATTTGTGTGTAAAAGAGATAGAGTGTGTGTGTATATATATAGTTTTATATATATATATAATGTGTGTATATATATATATTGTTTAGACTATGTGTGTGTATATATAGTCTAAACAAAGATAGCAAAACTAAATGAAATGTAGTGACCACTCAACTTTACTAAAAATAATCACAAGAAAGTAGTGTTGCCCTGGAGACTCATGTCATCATTCTGCTCTAATGACTCCTTGTTAATGACCCAAATTTTAATAGAGTAGCCTCAGTAGCCTTTTCAACTCAAGAGACCTTCATATCTAACCCAGTTGAGCAACTCACTTTACTGGCCGTATCCTGCACTTTGTCATGCAAGCCTGACTTCTTCCACTTCCTGAATTCCAGGATAGCAGAGTTTAGCTACAACCTACGTTTTGTTCACCTCCCTGGTTCTAGTCATAAGTGGGTTCTCTACCTAGTCCAAGCTGTTGTGGTACCGTAGCCCCCTTTCCCTTTCTCCAGTAGGTTAGCCCCGTCACTGTTTTGCCTTTCTTCTGCAGTCTTTACTCTACTATTGGCCTTTTCTATGCCTCTCAGTTCCCAGAGAAAGTCATACTTATGCTGGTAGATAATATTGCAAATCAAAGGTTTCTAACCTCAGATGTTCGCATCCAGGATCTTTTTACTTTCCCTGGCCATCTCCTTTCCCTATGGGAACTATTTAAATAGTCATCATTCACATCCCCATTATGCTTAATATGTGGCATTGCTTTTTTCCCATACCGGGAAAATAAAAGTTTATCAAGTGCGGTTTTCCTTATTTTCTTGTCTTTTGAACTTATCTGTCCCGTCCATTACTGCCTTCTTCCCATCTAAGAGGAAAAGTTGTTCAAGAGTGCAATACTCAATCCTTACAATTCTGTTCCCTACCATATGCCTCCATCCATTGTTCTCTTTCTATCCTGTGTGTTTAACTTCTCCCTTTTCCCTGGTGCCTTCACTGTTGCCCCCCCACAAGCTCAATCTCTCCTAACCTAAAAACAACATAAATTTTGACCTGGCATCTACTGGATACCACTTTGTGCCTCTGTGTTCTTCAGTCTACTGCGATGCAGCTCCTGCTCTCACTGCTTAGTTGGAATCACTCAAGCCGTGACCACTGATGACTTCTTTAATTGTCCGGTCTGTTGTTCTCTTTCCTCCCACGTCTGTTTTGAAACTTTGACTTTATTAACCACACCTTTTAGAAATGTTTCCCCTTTGGCTTTTGGGACTCCAAGCTCTCTTTATTTCTTTTTCTGTCTCTCTGACCATTTTTTCTTAGTTTCAGGGACTTGAAGATTTTGCTTTTTTCCCTGTTCTCTCCATAGGTCTGATGTTGTCCTACTTCTCTACAAATACTGTGCACTCCCCATATATGATTTATGTATTTTCACAGCTTCAGCTATTATCTGTAAAAAGAGACTCCCAAATCTTTATTTAAGCTGGATTCTCCCTACTGAATTCTAGACTTAGGTTTTAACTGCCTTACTGCACATCTCGCAGAAATCTCAGCTGTAGGTATCAATAAATAACCTTGTACTCTTTCTTCTAGCTTACCAAACCTTATTTTGTCTTCTGAGTGCCTCTCTATCCCACAGTCACTGTCTTAGTTGAGGCCTCATTATCTCTCATGTGGTCTCTTGCAGAAGTTTCATTCTTGGGTGCATGCTCACTCCGGTTTGTACTTTAACTGATATTTATTCAGCAATATTGATTAATTACCTAATATGTACCAGGCCCCTTGCTGGGCTCTGAAAATCTAGTGATGAGTGGAAACAGGCATGGTCCCAGTTCTATTGGAGCTTACATTCTAATGGGCGAGACAGAAATTATTAATATAATCAAGCCAGAGTATGGTTTTGAAGGAAAGGAACACAGTTCTCTGAGATAATCTAACAAAGGAAATGACCTACTCTAGGGAGGCAGGGAGACTTCCTTGAAAAGATGTGATGCAGCTGAGATCTGATGGGAAAGATTTTCCAACCGTATTTTAGATAGAACAGCATGTGCAGAGACCCTGTGGTAGAAGGTGCTGCAGGAGGCAAGGGAGCAGGAGGAAGTGGTCTGAGATTGAGGCTGCAGAGGCAGAGGGAGGAGTCAGACCATGGAGTCCTGTGGTCACATGCTCCTAGAAAGATGGGAATCTAGTGAAGGATTTTTAACAGGTAGGAAGGGGGATGTGATAACGTGATCAGAAAATCATTCTAGTTGCAGTGTGGAGAATGGATCTGAAGGGGCCTGGGAGACCACTTAGCAGGTCACAGACAGCAATCCTTCTAAAAGGCATAAATGAACTTTCCCATCCTCAAAATTCTCCAGTTGTGCAAAAATGAAATCTAAACTACTTAACTCAAAAAACAGGGTCCTTTCTAGCACTCAATAATGTTTCTAGTCTTTTCTAACACTTCCTGATGTGCATCCTATGCCTGGCCTTGTGTTCACTGCTACTTGACCTTGCCATGCTCTGTTTCTTCTATCTGTACTGTCCTCTTCATCCCCCTTTGTGAACCTAGGGAACGCCTATTTTCCAGCAAAGCATAACTCCTTCATTTCATTCTACCCCAGAAAAAAAAAACAACAAAGCTCATTGTTTATCCCAAGTACCCACAGTGCAAGCTATTAGCGCTTATTCTACAGTATTATAACAGTTTGTTTACCTATACTCTTCACATAATGGAGCTCCTTGTCATTAGGGATTATTTTATCCATCTTCATCTCCTCCTTTTTTGTCTAGCACTTTGCCTGGTGCCTGTAAAGATTGGGTAAGCATTCCATTTTTCTGTTCTGATCAATTTACTTTTACCAGTAGTCAGGTCAGTTAAACAGTTACTGACCACTTAACTATGCTAGGTGTGTGGGATACTAACACACCCACACCACAGACACTATATTTGATCTGCTTTTCTCATGCTAACTGTGCATCCTTTTATTTTATTAATTTATACTTAAAATTTGTCTTAATAAGAACTTTTTATTCATTGTATAGGGCTAGAGTAGAGAATCATTATTTGTCAAATAACTGTTTTCTGGAACTGCAGAAAATGTCTTTTGAAATCTTAAAGTTAAGGATGAGTTACACAATCTTACTTAAACCACAGAAGAGTATTCTGGTGAATTACATTAACTCCTTGGTAATCAGTAATTTCCATTGTGTCTGTCAGGGTTCCACAGGAACTAGAGGGCCATTGGTGCTTCGATTTAGGGACAGATTTTGTAAAGTTTTTGCCCCTGATCTGTTATTTGGGAGAGGGTCACAAATTGACTTGATCTTTTTTTCCTTCTTTCTAGATAACGGCAAAAGCTTCTATCATTTTTGTTACTCTTCAGTACAATGTCACCCTCCCCGCAACAGGTAGGTAATTTACACTAAGAATTTTCTACGTAAATAGAAATTCAGTTGAACAAACTGGGAAATTTTCATGAATACTAGGTCCTGCATTAAGTAATCGTCAGAGATCTCATCCATGATGTGACTGAATGTTATTTTGATCATTTTGTAATACAAGATCTGATGTTTTTGATTAACTTTACCCTATATATGTTTTCTGTTTACTATATATTTTTGTGAATGGACTTTAAATTCCATAAAAGAATTTTGTTTTGCTTTCTCTGCCTTCTGATTTTTTCCTAAGAAAGTTATAAGAAAAGATATTTTTAAAATTTGTTTAAATGTCATTGTTCATTCAAGGCTTCTAAAAGCACAATGGCAGATTTAGTTTTTCTGCAAGTTACATTTTGGACCTGTAATAGCAATCCTTCTAAGATTATTTTCACTTTTTCTTGTGCTCTACTTTTAACAATTATTTTGATTCCAGAAAATGTGTTCGTAAACTCTAGGAATTATCTGGTAACAGCATCCAAACTATTAGGTTTTATTTCTAAAATGTTATTTCTTAATCTATGTAAAAATTAGGTGTTTCTTAGAAGTTGATTGTAATTTAATACAGTGATATAATTAACTAGCATGGGCGAGGGATGGGGTATTCTTTGGTTTAGGCAGTAAACCTGCACAGTTTTTTGTTTAAAATGTAAGATAATGTAGTATACCCCATTTAGTTGGGGTTTTTTTGTTGTGGTGGTGGTTTATGTGTGTATTTTTAAGAGACGATAGGGGCTTGCCAAATTTGCCTAAGCAGGAGTGCTGTGGCGTGATCATAGCTCACTGCAGCCTCCGGCTTCTGGGCTGAAATGATCCTCCTGAGTCAGCCTCCCCAGGAGCTGGGACTACAAGGGCACACCACCATACCCAGCTAATTTTTCATTTTACTGTAGAGATGGAGTCTCACTGTACTACCTAGGTCAGTCTTGAATTTGGGCCTCCAGCAGTCCTTGCCTCCCTAAGTGTTGGGATTACACGGTTGAGCCACTGCACCTAGCCCCTGAGTTGGGTTTTTGTTCAGTTATGTATAGTTTTGAAAATATTTAATTTAGTGATTTAGTTATCAGGTTACTCAAAACTACAATACTGTTTTGAAATTTGAATTTGCGAGAGAAGAATAAAGCTCTTTTACATATATGTTCCCCATAAACGTAAAGTTTGAGAATAAGTGTCATCAATTCACAAGTATTTGATAAAGATTTGTTTTTGAAAAATTATAGCAATTGTAAGGATTAAAAACAACTTTAGTAGTTGCCTTTATCTCTGCTGCTTATAGATCAAAACTAAATCAAATACAGGTCAAATCAGCTTTTCCATCAGAATCATAATTTAGTGTGTAGTTTGAAAGTAGAAGTAGAAAGTTTCAAAAGCCCTTTGCAAAAAATAGGTCAATAGGCTAAGTATAACTTTATCAACCTAATTTATACCCCTGTGATAGTATCAGTTTATTGAGTGTGGCCTCCTCTTCCCTCTTTTTTGGTCTTTGGTGGCTGTGACTAACGTGTCAAATCTTTGTAAGTAATTTCTAAAGCTTTAGATTTCTAGATAGTCTTGATTTTCATTGCCCCCCTAAGACTCAAGATGTCCAAGACCATGTTATTTATGATGTTTATATAGAACTTTTTTATTAGGTTATTCTTCTTTGTTTCTATAACTTGTACTTAATGCTGTTTTTATAACCTTATATATATTTTTGTGTATTTGTGTCCTTTTTGGTCTTCAGAAGAACAAGCTACTGAATCAGCGTCCCTTTATTACTATGGTATCAAAGATTTGGCTACAGTTTTCTTCTACATGCTAGTGGCAATAATTATTCATGCTGTTATTCAAGAGTATATGTTGGATGTAAGTATGCAGTCTTGGAAATCTATACCTTATAAAGTACTAGCTCTCCATAATCTGATAGTCATATATTAAATATAATTTATAATTTATTCTTAATTACTAATGGCTGTTTTTATTTTTAGAAAATTAACAGGCGAATGCACTTCTCCAAAACGAAACACAGCAAGTTTAATGAATCTGGTCAGCTTAGTGCATTCTACCTTTTTGCCTGTGTTTGGGGCACATTCATTCTAATCTCTGTAAGTATGTCATTCATTCTCATCTCTTTTAAGTATGTCGTCTTAGGCTGTTGTTCTCCTTCCTTATCTAAGATTAGGAACTCTGCTAATGAACTAGCATAAGTTAAGAGTTTCAGTGATAAATCTCTTTTAGGTATTTTTTATACAGAAAAAAATCTATGTTTACTGTTTCAGAAAGGCTTATTCATTTTTAGTCACTCTGAATGTTACTTTTATACCTTTTTTTTTTTTTTTTTTTGAGACAGAGTCTTGCTCTGTCGCCAGGCTGGAGTGCAGTGGCACAATCTCGGCTCCCTGCAACCTCTGCCTCCCGGGTTCAAGTGATTCTCTTGCCTCAGCTTCCCAAGTAGCTGGGACTACAGATACACACCACCACGCCCAGCTAATTTTTGTATTTTTAGTAGAGACAGGGTTTCACCATGTTAGCCAGGGTGGTCTCGAACTGACCTAGTGATCCACCCGCCTCCGCCTCCCAAAGTGCTGGGATTACAGACTTGAGCCACCATGCCCAGCCTTACTTTTATAACTTGTTGTGATTTACAGATACCTCTGTATCAGCAAAAAGCATTAAGATGTGAGTGATACTCCTACTAGGTTACATGAGTTGTAATGTTCACAGTCATTTCCTCCTTTAGAAACAGCCCCAGTGTTTTCCAAGCTTCTTAAATGTTCTATAACTTTTCAATTATGGCAATCAAAACCTTTAGTTATGTCACTATTACTAATGAGAAAAAGGCAGTATTTGCTTTAATGTTAGTGATAATAATCCCTTAAATTTATATGGTGTTCCATACTTTACATACTTTTGAGTTTGTCAGACACATAATTCTTTTTAATCACTGTATTAGAGATGAATAACAGGAGTTTTCCAGGGTAAAGCACTTCATGTTGGAGGTAGATTAAAATTCAGCTTTTTACTCCATTGCTCATTCGATTTTACTCTACTGCTTTAATAATACTTTATAGGTAATATGTAAATTTTAGTTTGAAAACTATTATAAATTTTTTTTTAAAAAATATAAAAGTTATACTTCTGTGGGAAAATACTCTTACAAAAATCACTTTAGATTTTATTTTTTAATCTTTTTTTTTTTTTACGTATGCAGTAATTCTCACTGAATAGATCTGATTATCTAAGAAAAAAATTGGGGCAGTATTTTATTGATGTAATTCCATAAAACTCGGTAGTGCCCTGATCCTTTGTCTCCTGTCAGATGCTACAAACTTTTCCTGAAATCTTCGAATTACCCAAGACAAAATTCTTCTCTCCTGGTCGCTATTGTGCCTCTTATTGGTGGTTTTATGTTTGTCTACGTGTATTTTTATTCTACAGGATTGAAAGATTTTTTAGGGCCAGGAATTGTTTCTTACTTGATTCCGTATCTCATTTATATCATTGATTTTCACTTTGCTCAAGTAACCAACTCAAATTGGATTGAAAATAACTAAAACAACTAAGGAGTTTGACGTCAGTGGACTCTTTGCAACCTACTGTGGGGAACTGTAAATGTTTGAGAAATGAAAGTAATGTCTTATTTTCCAAGAAGTTTGCATTATGCTCACAGGTTAATTTTTGTATCTTCTTTCTTAGGAAAACTACATCTCAGACCCAACTATCTTATGGAGGGCTTATCCCCATAACCTGATGACGTAAGTCATTTGTAGCAGCCCTTTCTTTGTTAAGAACCATGGTCATGTCGCTATTAATCAGAATTCATTGTTATTCTCGTTAGGACCTTAGGCAAATGCATAAAATAGATGAAAATATGTCTTTGACAGTCCCACTGCCATAAGAAAAAAAAAACGCTGTGTACCTTTTTTTTAATGTTTCTATTCTAATCTTTTCAACTTCTTTGTAAGCTTGAGACAACTGATTTTAACATAATCTTAATTTGGTACTCGCTTCTTTTCCTTTCTTTTCACTTATCCTTTCTCCTTTTTATGACTCCATCTTCTCTATACTTTTGTTCCTTTTGTTTTTCCACACCCTCTGTCTCTTTTGACATCTTCCCTTCTTACTCTCGTTAGGGATTGTTTCTTTGTTTATTTCTCTAGTTTGTACAGTGCTGCTAGGTTAAAGTGCTCAGTGGTTACAAAGACGTCTGAATAATTCATTTTTGGAGCCCAGCTCTAGTACAACTATTCTATATTAATTTTCCTTGCTACTTTAGCCTGTATTGGTCTTTAGTATCCCCAAATTTGTCATTTTGGTAGATGTTTTATGTAGTGTCCATATATTGTTTTGATTGTTCTATAATTGTCTCATTTTTGTAAGTCTTGCATTGTGCCCATAGCCACTGAGACTATATATGCCTTGGTAGCAGTAAAAATTATTTTATATCCTTCATTGTGCCGGATACGGTGCAGGTGCTTGTCACCTAGACAGTATTTAGTAAATACATTGTGATGTGAGAATTGGAGAAGGGAGAAGATATGAAGGAAAGAAGAGAATAACGTGACTGTGGATATTTTAAGTCCAGCAGTAATACCCACTCTACTGAATCATACTCTGATTTCTAAAGTTTTATTAGTTCAACAAACTTTGTAAATATTGTATTTATGTGGGACCGTATTCCCTCCACCCCCACTGCCAAGAAATTAGATTGGCTTTGTGTTTTCTATTTTAGACTTCTGGAGGAGAGGGAGAGGGGAGAATAAAGAGGAAGCAGAAGGGCTAGAGGAATATAATGTCAAGAGAAGAGTACTAGTTCTAGACTGATTATGATATAGCTCCTGGAGAGCCCTGGTATGCCTTATTCTGACTCTCTTTAATCCTAGCTCTGCCTCCATTTATTTGGGGCTTTTTCCCTGTTCCAACCAGGTACAGTTACCACATTTGCCTAAGAAAAAAAAAAGAGGGTATTTGAAATTGGGATTATTTTAGTTTCAGGTGATTATTAACCTATGAGCCTTTGCTTTTGTGTCAGTCTTTTTCCCCTTCTTGTCTTGATGAAACTGTGTAGACGTGTGGGTTATGTTTTCAGTAGCTAACATGACATACTACTCAGTATTAATGAACTAATAGGGGCTCTGACTCCTCTCTGCTGGCTTACATGTCAATAGCTTTCTGCAGATAATATCTTTGCCTGCTGTTTAATCCAGGGATCTTGTCCAATGGTGGGACTGTCACAGGGAAATGGGGAAAGCAGTTGTTGAAGAGTTGTTTAAAGGTGCACAGATACTGTATGGAATGATAACACAAAGATAGTTACTTAATATATCCTGATTTCCAGTATTTGTTTACTGTTTTTTAAAAAAAATTATGCTTTAAAAGATTCTCTTCATTTTCTTGTGTTGTATAGGTTTCAAATGAAGTTTTTCTACATATCACAGCTGGCTTACTGGCTTCATGCTTTTCCTGAACTCTACTTCCAGAAAACCAAAAAAGTAAGCTGGGATTTTATAGTGTTAAAAAATGTCTTGTCTTTTTTTTTTTTTTGGAAAAATTTTTCTAAAATTAAGTATTTCCTTACATGTTTGCCCTTCCTCCATTCTTCTTACCTAAACTCTTACCCCATCATTCTCCCACCAACCCCCTTTCTACAAAGCCTAAAATCCTTAAGCATTTTTTGGAAAAAAAAAAAAAAAACACCTTCAGTCAGTACTTTAGCTTAGATTTTTTTACATTTGATATGTTACTGTCTTGTCTTAAAATTATATTAGTGGTAATGTAAATTAAAATTTAAACAAATTTTTAAATGTAATATTTGTTTTATCTTACTGATATTCTTAGCAAATTATTTCACAAGTGAGCTAAAAAGGATTAGTCACATTACAACTAACAGTTCTGTGTGTAAGTCCTAAAGCAAAATTCAGTATTGGAAAAAAAAGTAAAATATATTTAAATATTCACCAGCAAAACTTCTCCTGAAATGGGTAGAGCATTCCCTTTTTAGCATGTGGGAAGGATATTTGTTTGTTTTATTTGAACAAATACGTAAACTGCTGGAGCACTGCAAAATCCTCCTTCCTAGTTTTACCCTCAGTGCTTCTGAAGTCAGGTTTCCATGCTATCACAAAAGTCATTTTCTTTACCCTGTCTCCTCTGAAGCCAGTATTGGCTCCCTATTATTTTAAACTAGAGTAATGCTGCTCAACTGTGCCCTGAGAGTTTCTCCCATCGCCACTGTCTTCCGGGGACCTCTTCCTCTGCTCGCTCCTCATGCTTCGTGCACACTGATAGTCTCTAGTTTTGTAATCCCAGCACATCACTTCTTTTTCCTGGAATACCTCTTCCCTCGGATAAATTAATCAAGTACTTTCATTTCCCTTTTTTCTGGGAGGTTTTTTTTGTTTTTTTGTGTTTTTTTAATTCTCATATATGAAATCCTTTGTGGGATTTTACTTCAAAATAATACCAGGTGAAGGAAAGTAAAGAGGGATACAGATGAAACAAGTTTGGTCGTTTATTAATAATGATTGAGGTATGGGTGTGTCAGAATCTTTTCTGTCTGTTGTATATATGTTTACATTTTCCCGCATTTAAAATGTTCTTTTGTTTTCTTAAATCCCCTTTGACAAATCTTCTGGAGTAAAAGTGTGACAGCCAGTCTGGTGACTAGTTTATCTTTGCCTACTCAAAAGCCATAAAACACTATTTTTATGTGTGCTACAAATAGTTAATTCATGGACTAGGCACTTGATTTGCTACTGTTTCTTGTCTGTGTTCAGTGTATCTGTCGTCATTCGTCATTCGTGTTGTCTGCTAGGATTAGAAAACAGCACCAAATTAGAGGCCATATGCTATGGCACTTAAGTTCTTTTTATGCTGATTTCTTTTATAAAGTAGATTGTTTCTCCAGCTATATTGATCATAAGGAATAGGATGAAGATCTTCTATTTTTAAACGCTTCACTTAGAACTGTCTTCAGATAAAATTGTTAGACCCAGATTCCAGTAGCCCTTCCATGTTTAGTAAGCTCCTAATGTGAAACGTAGGTATTGTGGAGCTGTACTGTCCAGAATGGTAACTACTAGTCACATCTACGTGAACTTAAAAAAAGAAAAGTGAAACTGACCTTTTTGTCCCCACTAGCCACATTTCAAGTGCTTATTAGCTACTGTGGCTAGTATGTACCATTTTGAACAGAGGAGATACGGAACATTTCCATGATTGCAGAAAGTTCCGTTGGACAGCGCTTCTGAGAGTATCATAGTTTCTTGATGTCTTAGTAGCATGGCTCAGATATTTAAAGCCTTCTTCAGGTATTTGTATACTTAGGAACAGATACCTCTGGATTTCATTATTAATCCATGTCTATATCTTGTTCACTGACTATGGTAAGTAAGGAGGGACATTTCAAAGTAATTGTTCATTTTAGTTCCTGAAACTCTTTTCTTATCAGTTCCTGCCAGATGGCACTTCTCCAGAAATGCAATCTAATTTTTATGGAATAATTTGCATAACTTAGAACTTAACTGAAACTATTTTTAACACCTGCATATGACAGTTGAAAGTAACTGTTTCAAGTAATTAACATAATTTGAAAGTAGCAGCTGCATATGTGTTAAACAGTTTCTTAAAATTTACTCTATGAAAATTATTTTTGGAACTCTTTACTGGAAGAAACTAGTACAGTGATTGTTTTGAACCAATCGTACAGACAAATAGGAAAGAAAGGAACGCTGTTAGTAGCAGTTCAAGAGGTGTGTTAGTCATGAAAAACTTAGTTTCTTTCAAGGAGAAAACTTAAATTATGTATACTGTGTATATAAACAGTTATCCCTTTTGCCGATGAGAAGATTCAAAATATTTCTTAGACATCTTGAATATATGAGCTTTTAGGGAAGTCATGAAATAGCCAAATGTTTCTAATACTCAATTTTAGTTTAATTATACATACGTATAATTATTTGTACATATAATTGCATATCATATAAAGTATTACAAATAGTATTTTCTCCCTTCCTACTTCATGAAAGTTACATTACACTTTTCATATGCAACTTTGATGTTAGTATCTGTCATTCATCATCACTAGAACCACTTTTTTTAATCTGATGACATTTTTTCCACATCATAACATCATCTTCTGTCTCACTGGTTCCTTTATTAGACCTTATAAACCTTTAAAAATGACATTGATTGAAGTTTTCAGCTGTATGTGTCTTACACAAACATTTGTTCAAGATAATTAGTACAGAGCTCTATAATGCAAGAGCTTTGTAATGATTTAATTACAAGGTGTACCATCTGAGGTTTGGGGGGAAATCTTTGCCTTATATTTGGGGCATATATGTGATATTCAGCTTTGTTTATTTTTCAGTATAGTGTAGTCAAGAAATGTGTTTTTTTTAAAAATAAATTTTTTAAAGTATGTTATATTTTTTAATAAAAAGATATTGGAATAACAACTGAAAATGGCACTTGAAGTTATTTACGATTTTAGAATTTGCTATGATTTCTCCCAGCCTTCTCTGTTCTCTCCCTTTCCCCAGAACCCGTGTAAATGTGTACATCCAGAGACCATGCTGCTGGTGCTAGGCAAGGCTTTGTTGTTGGCCTCAGACATGTGAACACCGTGCCATCAGGGCTGTAACCCCAGAGGAAATGGAGAACATTGCAGGAGGCTGGCCTACCACAGGGATGCTAAAAAGTAGCCATTTTCTAGATAAAATTTCTCATTTTAAAAATCATGGTAAGCCAGACATGGTGGCACACACCTGTAGTCCTGGCTACTGGGGAGGCTGAGGCAAGGGGATGGCTTGATTCCAGGAGTTTGAGACCAGCCTGGGCAATGTAATGAGACTCGTCTCTAAAAAATAAAATAAAACTCACGGTACACTACCCCTACTTCCATGTATTTTTTGTAATCATTTGGGAATACCTTTATCTAGGGTGTGTGTTAAGTTAGCCACAATTCCTACCACCCCTTGAGGTATTCTACTCATCTCTTTTTTTTTTTTTTTTTTTTTTGGTATTATTGTTGTTGTTATCCCCATTATACAGAGAGATTAATTAGCTTGCCCAAGGTCCCTCAGCTAGTAAGTGACACAAGTATTTAACTACCCATTCTCTTACTCATTTTTACTTTTTCTGTGGTAGGCTTTGAGTGTACAAACACTGTTTTAGAGACACTGGTCAGTTGGTGCAAAGCTGAATGGACCATTACTTAGAAAAAGGTTTCTTGATAATCCTATCTTTTTGAAAGCAATAGATACTATTTTTAAAACTTTTGCATAGGCATTTGATGGTTGTGAAGATGGAACCTAGTGATGGCATTTTACCCTCTATTATTACTGACTCGGTTGGCTATCAGAAAGGTAAGGCTCCTGGGCACAGTGGTGGGTGCCTGTAGTCCCAGTTACTCAGGAGGCTGAACTAGCTGGATCACTTGAGCCCTGGAGTTGGAGGCTACAGTGCACCATAAATTCACCTGTGAATAGCCACTGCACTCCAGCCTGAGTAACATGGTGAGACCATGTTTCTATTTTTTAAAAAGAAGGTACAGTGCTAAGATACAAAGTTGAACCTGAACTTAGGAAAGAAACTCTATGGCTTTGTCCTTAGCTAATGTCAAGCACAGCTGTGCTTCATCTAATTGGGTTGAAATTTAAAGATAAAAGATCAGAAATGGAATGGCTTTTTGAAACTTTGTTTGTTTGTAATTTGTAATAGTGTTTTTAGTCTTGTCAGAGAAGAAAGGAGTAGGCAGCTTAGGTTCTCTGCTAATTGACCAGTGTCAATTTTAAAAACTTAGTTGGATTTCTTTTAAATTATTAAAAAAAAAAATCCTCCTAAGTAGTTACATTGCATTATGGTTTTTCCAGCAAATTAGTTTTTTTGTTTTTTTTTTTACATTGCCTTACTCAAGTTTTTATGCCATGAAATGAGTTTAATCAACAGTTAAAAACTAAAAAGCTCTCCTCATAAGTTTTAAGGGTTTTCTTGGTCTGTTTTCTCCTCTGAAATTTGGAGCATTGAGTAACACATATGAAAGAATGTGGCAATATTTCTCATACCTAGTCATTTATGTGGCTACCTTCCTGCATTGCCATATTCACATACTACTAATTTATACTTTTGACATTTTAATTATTAAGGTATATTAAATAACAAAATATTTTGGGTTTTTGTTTTGTTTTGAGACAAGGTCTTGCTCCGTCACCCATGCTGGAGTGCAGTGGCCACAGTCACAGCTCACTGCAGCTGCAGCCTCAACCTGCCAGGCTTAAGCAATCCTACTACATCAGCCTCCCGAGTGGCTGGAAGTACAGGCGTGAACCACCATGCTTGGCTAATTTTTGTATTTTTTTAGAGATGGGGTTTCGCCATGTTGCCAAGGCTGGTTTTTGAACTCCTGGGCTCAAGCAATCCACCTTCATCAGCCTCCCAAAGGGCTGTTATTACCGGCATGCTCCACCATGCTCGGCGTAAAATACTTTATTTAAAATTTTAGTTACAGTTAAATAAAAGTATTTCATTGTGTACTGTGTACAATCATTTTGTTCCGTACCAATGTACACACCACACTGGGAAACAGTGGCATATATATAGTGGCACTTCTACATGCATTGTACGTCAAATTGCATTGATAATACTACAAGTGAGCTTTTCTGAAATTATTATAATGGGAGAGAAGAGGTTCCCTTGTGGTTGCGTGTTATCTCAACACCCTTTCTCCTTCCTTTTGTAAGCTGAAATATTTCATTGGAAATTTACAAATTATGTAGAGAGGATCTTAAGACTGTCTACTTTCAGAGATACGTCTCTCTTCGGTTGGAAGAATGACAGTAAACTTGGTATCAATTTTGCTAAGAGTCCCAAAATACAGTACTGTAAATAGTAATATTCAGACTGTCTTATGTTCTACCTAACGCTTGATCTTTGCGCCATTCTTACTAGAGAAGAGTTTTCCATTTCAAAAGTAGACTTTAAAAAATCTCTCCTCCTCAGAAGATTTGGTGAAGTCACTGTCTATACTGAAACACAGAGAAATGGAGGACCAATGGACCTGAACCTAGCTATGCTAAATGCAAGAGATAAGTTTAGTGAGGCTGCAGAAGAACACGGTTCAGCCTGCCAGCAGCAACCCAGCATTTCCGTCGTTCTAATTAGTAACTGTAGAACATGAATAGTACTCACTAGACTAATACAATCCTTGTAAATATATATACGAAGAAAACAAAGGAAATTAGAAATGAGGTATAGGTGTTTCATCAGTCAGTAGGCTGGCCTGTTGAGCTTATCACTGTCAGTGTTTTGTAAACATTTTTACTGCAAACAAAGATGAAAAGCTTTTTACATCATAATTCATTTTGTGTGTGTGTGTATGTGTGTGTGTATGTAAAATGTGGAATAGAATTTTCATAATACAATGTGCTATATACTCTAGCATTTTCTTTTTCTTTCTTTTTTTTTTTTTTTTTTTTTTTTTTTTGAGACAGGGTCTCGCTCTGCCACCCAGGCTGGAGCGCAGTCATGCAATCCTAACTCACTGCATCCTTGAACTCCTGGGCTCAAGCAATCTTTCTGCCTCAGCTCCCCAAGTAGCTAGGACTACAGGCACATGCCACCATGCCTGGCTAATTTTAAAAAAAAAAAAAATTGTAGAGGTGGGGTCTCTCTATGTTGCCCAGGCTAGACTCAAACTCCCAGCTTCAAACAATCCTCCTGTCTCAGCCTCCCAAAGTGCTGGGATGAGAAGTGTGAGTCACGGTGCCTGGTCACATTTTCTATTTTATTTCATGTTTTAAAAGATGCTGGTGTGACCCCAAAATTGATTTCATGATCCACTAGTAGGTCTTTTTTTAAGAGACAGAATCTTGCTCTGTCACCCAAGCTGGAGTATAGTGACATGATCATAGCTTACTGTACCTCGAACTCCTGTGTTCAAGTGATGCTCCTCCCATGTCTGCCTCCTGAGTAGCTGGGACCATCACACCCAGCTAATTGTAGTTTTTGTAGAGACGGGGTCTTGCTGTATTGCCCAGGTTGATCTCAAACTCTTGGTCTCAAGTGATCCTCGCACCTCGGCCTCCCAGAGTGCTGGGATTACGCGCATGAACCATCACACCTGGCCCCACTAGTGGGTCTTGACTTGTGTTTTCTAAAAATACTGTTTCTGAGACAACCAGCTCAGCTAGATAACTGTGGGAGAAAAAAAGAAGTAAAAATAAAATCTAGGTACTTGGGCTTACGAAGTAATTGAGGAAAAATAATATACAATTAAGGAGTAGTATAAATGAGAATAAAAAATGTTAAACTTGTGTTGACTGACAAAGGACTAAAGCATGAGCTGAAAATGTGAATGCTGTTTTAGGTAGACAAAAGTGTCTCTACTACTATAAACATAACAATTTTAATATTAGAGGAACATCAAATTGTCAGCATGTAACTATGGTTAATATTGTGTCATTTAATACATGTTCATTAGAAACAAGAGCCGTAGATCTTAGCTCTAAAGGGGATTTTGAGTTTATCTGATTGAAGCAAATCTAAGTATTCACATTTTATGGATGAAATAACTGAAGCCAGCAGAGGTTAAGTGACTTGCTAATGCTATATACCTAATTGAGGATGAGAGATTGGGGTGGGGTGAGGGCAGAATAGCTTTCAGATCTCCTACTTCTGCATTTTTCACTTACTCTTAAAGAGCAGAAATGAGCCAAGCACAGTGGGTCACACCTGAAATCCTAACCCTTTGGAAGGCCAAAGTTGGGAGATCTCTTGAGTCCAAAGGTTTGAGACCAGCCTGGGCAACGTAGCAAGACCCCACCTCTTAAAAAAAGGAAAGGAATGTTTTAGCATGTTTTAATCTATAATGTATTTTTTACAGGAGGATATTCCTCGTCAGCTTGTCTACATTGGTCTTTACCTCTTCCACATTGCTGGAGCTTACCTTTTGAAGTGAGTTGGGATATTTCATGGGTGTGTAAGTAGGCTGGGCAGATAGTATGCTGACCTGTCTTAATTGGTAATTAATCTTCCCATTTTCAATTTGCTCTTTTAACAGCTTGAATCATCTAGGACTTGTTCTTCTGGTGCTACATTATTTTGTTGAATTTCTTTTCCACATTTCCCGCCTGTTTTATTTTAGCAATGAAAAGTATCAGAAAGGGTAAGTTGTTTAGCCATTCTATTTCTCGTGTAGTAAGTATTTAAAGTCATTGCCTGACATTGCCAAGATCCATGGCTTTTGGCCATTATATTACTTTTTAAGCGATTAGTAGCCGCTTTAAATAAAATGAAATTATTTCTCTATTCAGACTTTGTATTTTACTCTCTAAAATGGAGCCTTTCTCAGCTAGAGAGATACTGAACTATATCTCGCAATTTTGAAGACTTTGTGGGTTTACTTTTCTGTTATAACTTCTACTTTGTTTATTGAATCATTTTTCTTTTGGAGGAGTGATAGAGAAGTGAACTCTCAGAAGAAAATGAAACAATAGATAATTAGCCTTATAGATAACTAAAATATATTGATGGGGAAATTGAACTGAAAACAGAATTGGAGAGGTATAACTTGTAATTAGTGCAAAGTTGTCTTTAAAAAAGTAAAACTGGGACTCTTAATTGAGAATTAGGCATCCTGTTCTTTATAACACAGCTTTTTTGGTTTGTTTTGTCCAACATTTTCCAAAATTATTCTGAATACTAGTAGTTCTGAGGAACATTAATAGTTCTTATACAAGAAAAGAGATAAGCTAAACAGAAAATTAAACATTTATTTACTGGATTTTTTTAGAAATTTAAATAGGCTGTGTTATATCTCTTTGAGTGTGGTATATAGGCTTTCCCAGATATTTGACACAAAATTCTTTTTTGCAGAATAAGAAATGCTATTTTAATATGCCTTTACTTAATAGGAATCTAGTTTCTTTTTTTTTATTTATTTATTTTGAGAGGGAGTTTCGCTGTTGTTGCCCAGGCTGGAGTGCAGTTGCACGATCTCGGCTCACTGCAACTTCCACCTTCCGGTTTCAAGCGATTCTCCTGCCTCAGCCCCCCAAGTAGCTGGGATTACAGGCGTCTGCCACCACGCCTGACTTAGGAATCTAATTTCTAATAGAATCTTGTTTTTGAGATTTCAGGAATTTGACTTACAGTCTTTTTCTTGCAGATTTTCTCTGTGGGCAGTTCTTTTTGTTTTTGGAAGACTTCTGACTTTAATTCTTTCAGTACTGACTGTTGGTTTTGGCCTTGCAAGAGCAGAGAATCAGAAGCTGGATTTCAGTACTGGAAACTTCAATGTGTTGGCTGTTAGGTATAATCAATTTAACTTTTTTTTCACTTTATACAGCTAGATAATATATATTATCAGTTTTTCTATGTTGAATCATCTAAAAGGATGAATATGAGGTTGGGGAAAATACTCATTTGATTTTATTTCATACCTTTTGCTATTTTACATGTCTAAAGTGAAGTACTAAAGCGTTTAACTTTTAGGATAAATTATTAATGCACTGATAATACAATTTTCTCAAAATTATTACTAAATACTATTAAAGAAGATAGAATGTATTCAGTGGCATTGTTTTTTATACACTGTAACTTTTGATTTCTTAATATTTCTTAGAATTGCTGTTCTGGCATCCATTTGCATTACTCAAGCATTCATGATGTGGAAGTTCATTAATTTTCAGCTTCGGAGGTGGAGGGAACATTCTGCTTTTCAGGCACCAGCTGTGAAGAAGAAACCAACAGTAACTAAAGGCAGATCTTCTAAAAAAGGAACAGGTTTGTATTTAGTAAGCAATGAAAAACTCATAGAAGTAGAAAACTTTTAAAAAATTTGTTGTGGGATCTTACTTATTAGTTTGAAGGTCTTATAAAGAAAATATTATTCTGCTTTTTAACAAAATTAGAGGCAAAGTAATCTTACTGCATTCCACAATTGGATGATCCCTTGGATGAGGAAACTCAGTTACTCCCCTCAAAAGCTGTCCACTAAATTTCTCTTTGACAAGTTTTCCCTTCTTGGTTACCTTTGAGCCACTTTAGACCAAACTTTATGGACAGGTTTAGTGAATAACTAAACTAGAGGATGGTCGTTTGTTTTCAAGCATCTTATTCACATTTTAAAAAGCTGTTCACAACCTCTTCCCATCTGCCCATTTGTCCCAAGTGGAATAGCTTTTTTTTTTTTTTTTTTATAACTTCTGATTGCTTGATTCTTTCTCTTTAAGCCTTCATTTAACCTGTTTTCTCTTTATGGCTTTTGCAAAAATTGAAAATGCATTGATACTACAGTTAATTTTTTCAGTGTGTATATGGTATTATGCTTAGAGCTGTAACACAGGAAGTTCCAGTTTTTAGAATACGTCCACTCTGGTTTACTCTTTTCTAAGTATTAATACCTGATAATTTACATCCTCCAGCCTGTTTTTTTTTTTCACGTTTGTCCCAGCAAGTCTTGGCCCTTTGCATTTTCTTAATACATTTTAGTACAATTTGAGCTGGGTGCAGTGGGGGGTGCCTGTAGTCCAGCTATTCAGGAGGCTGAGGCAGGAGGATCACTCGAACCCAGAGTTCAGGGTTGCAGTACACAATGATCATGCCTGTGAAGAGCTACTGCACTCCAGCCTGGGCAACATAGTGCCTCTTTAGAAAAAAAAAAAAAAAAATTGTACAACCTGGTCAATTTCCACAAAAATTGCTGGGATAGAGTTGAAATAACATCACATCTATAGATCAATTTAGGGATAACTGACTATTTCAACCTGATATATACCTCTGTTTATTTAGGTTGTCTTTCATTTCTCCGAGTAATATTTTTAATAGCTTTAATGGGATGTAATTCACATACAATAAGGTTTACCCTTTAAAGTATACATTTCAGTCATTTTTAACAGATGTTCACAAAATTGTGCAAACCACTATCTAATTCCGGAATATTTTTATCACTGCAAAAAAAACCCCATGCCCATTAGCATCACTTCACATTTCCCCCTTCGTTCTGCTCCCGTACTCTCTAATCTATTTTCTGTCTCTAAGGATTGGCCTTTTCTGGACATTTCATGTAAACAGAACCATGTGATATGTGGTCTTTTGCAATTAGATAATGTTTTAAGGTTCATCCATGTCATAGCGTATATAAAGACTTCATTTGTTTTTACAGCCAAATAATATTCCATTGTGTGGAACCTTATTGTATGGATATATACCATGTTTTGTTTATCCATTCATCATTTGATGGACATTTGAGTGCCTTTTACTTTTTGGCTATTATTAATAATGATGCTGTGAACATTTAGGTGCAAGTTTTTGTTCGAACATGTGTTTTCATTCTCTTGAGTACATGCATAGGAATGGAATTTCCAAGTCATGCTGTAACTATGTTTAACATTTTGAGGGAACTGCCAAACTGTTCTTTGAAGTGGCTATACTATTTTTACACTCAGTTTAACATCCTGATATTCAGTTGTCCTTGTGCCATTTGTTAAAAACACTCCTTCACTATTGAACTGTCTTGATACCCTTTTCAAAAATCATTATTAAAAAAAGTTTATTTTTGGATTATGAATTCTATTGCATTTATTGGTAGATCGATTCTTATGCCAATACCACACTCTCTTGATTACTGTAGCTTTGTAGTAAGTTTTGAAAGCAGGTAATGTGAGTCCCCAATGTTGTTCTTTTTCATGATGTTTTGGTTATTCTGGGTTTCTTACATTTCCATATGAGTTTTTATTTAAGTGACAGGATCTTGCTGTGTTGCCCAGGCTAGACTTGAACACTTAGGCTCAAGGGATTCTCCCATCTCAGCCTCCCAAGTTGCTGGGACTATAGGCACATGCCACCTTACCCAGCCATTTTAATATGAATTTTATAATGAGCTTGTCAGTTTCTGCAAAAAAGCCAGCTGGGGTTTTGGTATGGATTACCTTCAATCTGTAGGTTGATATGCAGAGTATGAACATGAATGTCTGTTTATTTAGATCTTTAATCTCTTTCAATTATGGTTATCAGTGTATACATCTTGCAGTTCGTTAAATTTAACCCTATTCTTTTGGATGCTGTTGTAAAATAGAACCATCTTCTTAATTCCATTTTCAGATTCTTCATTGCCAGTGTATATGAAATACAATTCACTTTTGTATATTGATCTTGTATCCTGCAACCTTGCTGAATTTATTTATTCAAATAGGTTTTTGTTTTTTGTTTTTTGGTGGGAAGTCTGGATGTTTTCTATTGCATTTTCTTGCCAAATTGCCCTGTCTAGAACCTCAAGTGTTGAACAGAAATAGAGCAGACATCCTTGTCTTGTTCTTGATCTTAGGGGTAGGCATCCGTCCAGTCTTTTACCATTAAGTATGATGTTAGCTATGGGTTTTTCATAAGTGACCTTTATCAGGTTGAGGAAGTTCCCCTCTGATTCCTGGTTTGTTTATTTTTGTCATGGAAGGTTGTTAGATTTTGTCAACTGCTTTTTTTCCTGCATCTATTAAGATAACCTCGTGGGGTTTTCTTAATTTTTTCTGTTGGTATTATAGATTACATTGATTTTCAGATGTTAAACAAATGTTACATTCCTGGGATAAATTTCACTTGGTTATGGTGTATGATCCTTTTTATCTCTTGATGGATTTGGTATGCAAGTATTTTGTTGAGGTTTTTTTGTGTCTGTATTCATAAAAGATACTGGTGTGTATTTTTCTTGTAACATCCTTGTCTGGTTTTAGTATCAAGATAATACTGGCTTCATAGAATGAACTGGGCAGTGTTTTTTCCTTTTCTGTTTTTTGGAAGAGTTCTTCACTTGATCTTAGCCAAAATGCCAAGAAACAGTGGAAGAGTTGTTGAAGGAGATATTTTATAGGTTTCTGTATAGGAATCTCATACATTTTTCATTAAACTTATTCTCAGATATTTTCTTTTTTAAGCTAATGTACATGCTTTTTTTAAAAAACAATTTTAACTATTTGTTACGTAGTAATGCCATTTGTTTTCTTTAAGATACTATCCATGTACTGAAAAAATCTTCCTAATTCACTTAAAGTTTACACTAAAATATACAGTTATATCATCTATAAATATTATACCTTTTCATTTTCTTCCTGTATTACACTAGCTAGGACTATACCATAATATTGAATACAAGAAATGAATACTCTTGTTCCTCATATAAGAGGGAGACCTTTCGGTAGTTCATTATTAAGAATGTTTTGTAGATGCCCTTTCCTCAGTTCTCTTGTATTATATTTTTTACTAAGAGTTTGTGTCCATGACTTGTAGAATGTTAAGAAATGCTTTTTCTGCAACATTTAGTCATAGAGTTTTTCTTTATTCTGTTAATGTTGTGAATTGCATTGACTGTCAATGTTAAAATAATTTTGCATTTCTGACATGCATCCAAGTTGGTGATAATACAGTAGTCTCCCTGGGGGAATACATTCCAAAACCTCCAATGGATGCCTGAATCCAGGGGTGGTATCAAACTCTATTTAGTCATGTGCTAAATAATGACATTTCAGTCAACAGCTATACAATATATGTGCATACATGACTCATTTATGACACTGGTCCTATAAAATTATACTGTATTTCTCCTACACCATTTCTATGTTTAGATATGTTTAGATGCATACATAGTTACCACTGTATTACAGTTGCCTACAATATTCCATACAGTAACATGCTGTGCAGGTTTTTAGCCTAGGAGCAATAGGCTATAACATATAGCCTGGGTGTGTGGTAGGCTCTACCATCTAGATTTGTGGAAGTACATTCTGTGATGTTCACACAATGATGAAATTGCCTGACACATTTCTTAAAACATAGCCTGTTAAGTGGTGTATGACTCTGTATACTATGTTTTCTCCTAATACAGCTATGATAAAGTTTTATTTATAAATTAGTCACATATAACAGCATATTGTAGCAAAAGTTAATTGAATGTGGTATTTTTCTCTCTCAAAATATTATATAGTACTCACCTATTTTCAGACCATGGTTGACTGTGGGTAACTGAAACATGGAAAGCAACACTGCAAATAAGGGGAGACCATTGTACATCACTTTTGCAGAATTCCCTTTTTCAGTATTTCGTTAGGATTTTTGCATCTAAGTGTTTGGAAGTGTTCACCAACTAAGCCCTCTGACCTAGAGTCTTCTTTTTTTCCGAAACAGGGCCTTGCTTTGTCACCCAGACTGGAGTGCAGTGGCATGATCTTGGCTCACTGCAGCCTCAACTTTATGGGCTCAAGCAATCCTCCCACCTCAACCTCCTGAGTAGCTGGGGCTACAGGCACATGTCACCGCACCACTAGTTTTTGTGTTTTTTGTAGAGATGGGATTTCACCATGTCACCCAAGATAGTCTCAAACTCCTATACCGAAGTGGTCTGCCCACCAGACTCAACCAATTGGCTGGGCACCCAGCACTTTGGGAGGCTGAGGTGGGTGGATCACTTGAGCCCAGGAGTTCAAGACCAACCTGGGCAACATGGCGAAACTCCATCTTTACAAAAAAATACAAAAATGAACCAGGAATGGTGGTGCACGCCTGTAGTCCCAGTACTTGGGAGGCTGAGGTGGGAGGATCCCTTGATCCTAATGTAACCCTTGAGGTGTCACTTCAGCAGCTGGAAACCTCTATGACTGGTGGTGCCTTCTGCCTGAGTATTGCTTACACCCTCTGGGCTCATTCCACCCACTCAGCCTCACAGGCTGTGCTTGACTTGAGCTGCTGGCCTAGATCCCACACCTGCCAAGCATGAGCCAGAGGCGGAGCAACAGGGGGTGTGTGGGCAAGCACACACAAGGTCTAGCCACTGCGCACAGCCAGGCACACAGGCTTCTGCTGCGGGGCAGGCAGCTCTAGGCACCAGCACAGGTGCTGGCTCTGTGTGAGACTGCAGCTGGACCAGAGGTACTGCATGTGGCTTCCACTGCAGGCATCCATGACTGGACAAGAGGAACGTGGTGGTATCCCCAGAGTTTGGAGGTGGCCAGAACCACAGAACCCCAAAGAGGGTGTCACAGCACTGCCTCAGGGAGCCCCTAGATCTGGGCTTCCCAAAGGACCACAGCTCTTCTCTGTTTCTTGTCATGCGCAGTGTGGTGAGCAGGGGGGCATGTTTCAGCCTTGTTTGTGCTACAGCCCTTTTAGTCCCGCCATTCAGCAGGTCCCAAGTTCTTGTCCTACATCCAGGAAGAATGAGGTACGCAGGCAACTGGAAGGTCAGCAAGGCAGAGAGGAGGTTCACTGAGAGGCGAAACAGTTCTTAGGAGATCTGGTTAGCTCCTTTCCACAGGCAAGTCATCTCATCATCTGTGCAGCCCTCATGGTTAGCTCCTATCCACAGTCTCATCATCTGCCCAAGTCTGGCTGAGTCCAGGATTTTTATAAGCTTCAGGGAGGAGGAAGTGCATAATGATTGGTCCATGGGCAGGACCAGAAAAAGCACTATAAGTTCTCACTCCAGTCCATGGAACTGGCGGCCGGGCCCCCAGGTTTCAGGCCGTCCCTGGCTTGAAGAGGGGGGCTTCACTAGGGGCCCATGCCTTTCTGCCGAGGAAGCTCTCTGCTTCCTGCTGCCATCAACCTACCATCCATGGTGCCTAGGCTGGTCATGCCAAGAGATGCCTGCAGGCCCACACCAAGCTGCCCTCAGCCCCCCTCGGCCTCCCTCTCATGCTTGTCAGCACCCACAGTCCTGATGGCCAAGGGAGCAGGGAGCTGGCATATCAGCGCTGCTCTAATCCCATGATCAGTCTCACCTTCACTCCAAAATAGTAGTGGATGCCAGGAGTTGCAGAGTGGCCAGGCAGCGGGAGCAGGCACTTCCAAGCCTGCAGAGGCAGTGGGGCTTCCCGGGCCCCCAAGGGCTACGGCTGGGTGGCTGCAGCTGCGTCCAGGAGTGCAGGGCTCCCACCCCTCCAACTCTGAAAGGGATGGGGCTCCTGCTAGCTATGTGAAGCATGCAGCCCTGGCTGCACCTCCCACACTACAGCCAATGTCATGGCAATAGCCACTCCATACGGGCTGCTACTGCCATCACTGAGAGGTGGAGGTTGCAGTGAGTGGAGATCATGTTGCTGGACTCCAGCTGGGATAACAGAGTGAGACCCTGTCTCAGAAAAAAAAAAAAAAAAAAGATAATACTATTATTCACATTTTCTGTTTCTTAGTTGTTTCTCTTTTGGTAAATAGTGTTTTTCAAGGAATTTGTCTAGTTCATAATAAATTTGCAAATACATTGGCATAAAATTATTCATATGAACTTCATTATCCTGTTAACGCCTGTAAATGAGGAGTGATTCCTGTTTTTCATTTCTTGTGTTAATAACGTAAGCCTTTTATCTTTTCTTCTGTCAGTCAAAACCAACATTTGTCTTTTTGTGTTGATTTTCCTAGTTGTGTCTTTTCTGGATCATTGATTTCTATTCTTTCGTTTTCATTGGGTTTAATTTGCGGTTTTGTTTGTGATTTACCTTCTTGAGCTGGATCTTTGGAGCACTAATTTGTATCTCTTGTCAGTTACATTCAGTTAAGGGTAAACTTTTCAACACCGCTTTAACAGCATTTCACAAGTTTTTTGTTTTGTTTTGTTTTTTTGAGATGGAGTCTAGCTCTATTGCCCAGGCTGGAGTGCAGTGGTGGGATCTCAGCTCACTGCAACCTTCGCCTCCTGGGCTCAAGTGATTCTCCTGCCTCCCAGGTAGCCAGGATTATAGGCACCCACCACCACACCCAGCTAATTTTTGTATTTTTAGTAGAGATGGCGTTTCACCACGTTGGCCAGGCTGATCTTGAACTCCTGACCTCAGGTGCCGCCCACGTCAACCTCCCAAAGTGCTGGGATTACAGGCGTGATCTACCGTGCCCAGTCTGTATTTCACAGGTTTCATTATGTCTTTTTCATTATTATTCAGTTCAATGATATCTGTGCTTGGATTCCACTTGTGCTGTGACTATAGGTGCAAGCCATTATCCCTGCCTCAAACATCCATTTCTGTATGCAACTCTTATATTTTTGGAGAGAGAGTCAGTGAGACATTTGTTACTCCATCGTAGTTTGAAGAAGGCCATTACATTAGCCAGATGTGGTGGCACATGTCTGTAGTCCCAGCTATTTGGGAGGCTGAGGTGGGAGCATCACTTGTCCCCAGGAGTTCAAGACTACATTGAGCCGTGATCATGCCACTGCACTCGAGCCTTGGTGACAGAGTGAGACCCTGTCTGAAAAAACAACAGTAACATAAATAAATAAAAAGAAGGCCGTAATACACCCCTCCACATGGGAATTATCCTAAACGCCAACTTTAGCATGTTGTAAACAAATATCCCCAAGGACTTTGCTGTCAAATGTGAAAAGTTTATTTCTACAGAAGGTATTTCTCTTGATTACTATTTTTAAATTCTTGTAACTTTTTAAATAGTTTTCTGTCCTGTCATTTTTTTCTGCTTTTAATAGTAGTTTTCTTTTAATTTGCTACTTTCAGTTCATTGTGTTAAACATGTTACCAGGTTTTGTGATTGGTTAAATACTGGCAAATAAATGTCACCTGAGTATATATTGGATTTTACATTTTCTTTTCTGAAGGTATGTTTACATATAAAGATTATTACTTGCATTTATTTATAAAAGAGTAACACAGATTCTTTTCTTTTTGCAGAAAATGGTGTAAATGGAACATTAACTTCAAATGTAGCAGACTCTCCCCGGAATAGAAAAGAGAAATCTTCATAATGAATTATAAACTAATTGATTAATGTCCCCAAAGAAATCTGCTTTCTACTATATCTTTCAGCATTAGAGATTTTTCTGTTCTTGAAAATACAGTCTGTGCTCTTTGATTTTTGCTATTGTACTGTTTCATGCATTTTTTTAATGGGCATTTGAGGGGAGGATTATTGCTATGAATGAAAAAAATATTTTAGCTTAGACTAAGCTACCTGCCTTCAAAATAGTTTAGGGACCACCACCATATTTTATTTTGTTTTTATTTTTGAACATTTTTCTAATGATTTGGAGAGAAAACTATTTACAAAAATTCCACATATCAGTGATACAATTTCTTGCTGTCACCAATTTTTTATAATAGCAGAGTGGCCTATTCTAAGAAGGCCATATTTTTTAAGTTATCTTTCAGGGTAAAATGGAACTACTATAAAGTTGGATGTCAAACTTTAATATGTTTTCAGTGTTCTCTAATTTTTAGGAATTTTTGTAACCTTTACACCTGGAAAAAAAGATTTGTAAAATCACCAAAACAATTGTGTGCTTCATTTTATAGGTAGTGGTTATTAGTATTACATCCCCATTTTAAAAACAAAAACATAATGGTTACAACATGTGGAGTTTTATTGACATACATATTAAATCAAAGTATATTCTTAAAAGTACTTGTGAAGTAAAATCTTTCTTGTGCATTTTCAATACTTGTAACCTGGAAATCAGAAAATATTTACTATGAACAGGAAAATCGGACTTATATAGCCCTTTTTGATATGTTTATTAATAATGATTCTTAATGGGGCTCATAATAAGTTTAATATGCACAGCATCTTAGAAAAGTTTAACCTGCAAACCCTTTTAAAACATAATGCCTACTTGATTTATATCTATAAAAAGAATGTCAGGTAATTATATTTGGAAAACATTTAATGCACTAACTTTAAAGAAATTGAAAATTCAGGTGGATAAATAGTCTTACAAAAGACAATGTGCTTTATGTTATACCTATAGCTTTGGTCCCATCTTTAATTGAGAAACATTTATCTGTATAAAACATATTTTTGGATAAATATATATATATATATATTTGTATCTCTACAGAAAGGCTCTAAAAAGCATTTGAGGAAAATATTTGGTTCCCTTTTCTATAATTATCCTTTAAAATCCGTATAGCTACATTTGGTTTATTCATTGTATTTGCAGTATATATATTGTTCCTTTCAGTGTTCACATCTTGTTCCCCATTTCTCACTTGTGTCACCAGCTGTTTGTGCCATTTTTAGTGTAAAAGTTGCAGACCTATTAGATCTGCAGTTTAAGTTGCCATGCTGCTAGGAAGTTGTCCTTTTTCTTTCCAGCTGTTTACCTACTTCCTGGAAAAAGTAGTAGCTCTCTGTAGCATTATGGAGTTTCAGTGGAACCAAATCTTTGCCATTAAAAACTGGCATTATACTGAACTATACATTGAGAAATCAATCAAAATAAAAATTTTTACTTTCACAAGTTGCATCCTGGATGTTTCTGTCATTGTTGGTGTTTATGCTATTTTGGTATATAACCTCATTAAAATGTACCGTATTTAAAACACTTTATAGATATTCAGAATAACCCTTTTCAAAAGTGTGTTCTGCAAATAAACAGATTCATTCCACAGAATATTGGTGAGGACTACTAGGGGAATAGATGGTCATAACCAAATAAATCTGGGAATCACTGGATTGAACTAACCTAAAGGTGTCTCTTTATTATGGGACCATTCAGTCCTTAATATGCAAATGTCTTCCCTGGTGCACCAAGAATGTTGGCAGTGTGGGTATAATATGCAGTATTTCCCACCTTATTTGCCTGTAGAATTTTCTGTTCATCAAATTACTACAGCACTTTGTTTTCTACAGCATACACTGTGTTTACGCAAAGAAAAAAGCCCTTGATATGTAGTTACCAAGGGCTTACGTATACACACAAGCACATATACACACAAGTATGATTATAAATTATGAGCCCTACACCCTGCTCTCAAATGTGCTGAGGAAAGTCTGTACTGGCTTCCAGATCCTGCAGAGCCTGTCATTATCACCCAGACTCAAGTCGAGCTTGGAAGCACGATGGGAATCCTGTAGGGACCTACACCTGGACAAGGCTCACGACTCTGTCTTAAACCCTGGGGAACCATGAATTAGTTGCTTTGCTGCTCCGGGGTTTAGTCTTTCCCTCCACAAAATGCCTCTTTGCTGCATTTTTTTTAACTCTAAATTGACAATTTATAATTGTATGTGGGGGTCCAAAGTGGTGTTACGATTTATGAGTATAATATGGAGTAATAACGCTAGTTAACATCCATCACCTCAAATACTTAACATTTTTTGTGATTAGAACATTTAAATTTAGTTTTGAAATGTATAATACTATTATTAACTATATTTACCATGCTGTGCAATAGAACTAAAAAGAAATTCCTTCTGCCATATTTCATACCCTTTGACCATCATCTCCCCATACCCCTCAGCCCCCAGCCTTTGTAACCATCATTCTACACTCTGATTCTGTGAGTTTGTTTTAGATTCCACATACAAGTAAATAATGTGCCGTATTTGTCTTTCTGTGCCTGGTTTACTTAGCAAAATGTCCTTCAGTTTCATCCATGTTGTCACAAATGACAGAATGTCTTTTTTAAAGGCTGAATAGTATTCCATTGTGTGTATATACCCCATTTTCCACATTTTCTTTAGCCATTCATCTGCTGATAGAGCAGACCTTAGGTTGATTCCGTAACTTGGCTATTGTGAATATAGTGCTACAGTGAACTTGGGGCTGCAAACATCTCTTCGACACACTGATTTCAAGTCTTTGGGTTGAATTCCCAGAAGTGGGATTGCTGGATCATATGGTAATTCTATATTTAGTTTTTTGAAGAACTTCAGTTTTCCTTAATGGCTGTGCTAATTTACATTCTTAACAGTGTATATGGGTTCCCTTTTCTCCATATCCTTGCCCACATCTGTTATCTTTTGTTTTTGTTATGATAGCCATTGTGACAGGTGTAAGATGACATCATATTGTGGTTTCAATTGGCAGTTTTTCCATTATGTTTCCTTTAGTAGTGTTACAGTTTCTGGTCTTACATTTAAGGCCTTAATCTATTTTTGAGTTGATTTTTGCATATAGGTAAGACAAAGGTCCAATTTCATTCTGCATGTGAGTATCTAGTTTTCCTATCACCATTTATTGAAGAGACTATTCTTTTCCCATTGTATATTCTTGGCATCTTTGTGGAAAAGCAGTTGACCATGTGCATACCTGGGTTCATTTATGGGCTCTCTGTTCTGTTTCATATGTACTTGGTGTTTTCATTTTTTTGTTACATTTTGTTTTTGTCTGTCTTGCAAGTACCATGTATACTTTTGTTTTTTAAAATACATACACAGGGAGCCAGGGGTCTCACTATATTGCCCAAGCTGGTGTCAAACGCCTGGCCTTGAACAATGCTCCTGCCTCAGTATCCCAAAGTGCTGGGATTACAAGTGTGATTACTAACATTTTTTTTCAATAGTTTTTGGGGAACAGATGGTTTGGGTTACATGGATAAGTTATTTGGAGGTGATTTCTGAAATTTTGGTGCGCTTCCCACATGAGCAGTGTACAGTGTACCCAATGTGTAGTTTTTTATCCCTCAATCCCCTTCTATCCTTCCCTGAGTCCCCAAAATCCATTATATCGTTCTTATGCCTTTACATCCTCATAGCTTAGTTCCCACTTGTAAGTGAAAACATATGATATTTGGTTTTCCATTCCTGAGTTACTTCACTTAGAGAAATGGTCTCCAGCTGCATCCACATTGCTGCAAATGCCATTATTTTATTCCTTTTTGTGGCTGAGTAGTAGTCCATGGTATAAATATACCACATTTTCCTTATCAAGGTGTTGGTTGATGGGCATTTAGGCTGGTTCCATATTTTTGCAAAAATTGTGTTGCTATAAACATGCGTGTGCAAGTGTCTTTTTCATGTAATGACTTCTTTTCCTCTGGGCAGATACCAAGTAGAAGGACTGCTGAATCAAATGGTAGTTTTACTTTTAGTTTTTTAAGGAATCTCCATACTGTTTTCTATAGTGGTTGTACTGGTTTACATTCACACCAGCAGTTTAAAAGTTCCCTTTGACAACATCCATGTTAATATCTTTTTTTTTTAAATGATGGCCATTCTTGCAGGAGTGAGGTGGTATCTCATTGTGGTTTTAATTTATATTTTCCTGACAATCAGTGATGTTGGGGATTTTTTCATCATTGGCTATTCATATATCTTCTTTTGAGAATTTTCTATTCATGTCCTTTGCGCACTTTTTGATAGGATTGTTTTTTTTCTTACTGATTTGTTTGAATTCCTTGTAGATCTGGTTATTAGTCCTTTGTTGGATACATAGTTTGTGAATATTTTCTCCTACTCTGTGGGTTGTCTGTTTATTCTGATTATTTCTTTTGCTGTGCAGAAGCTTTTAGTTTAATTAGGTCCCATCTACTTGTTTTTTCTTTGTTGCATTCGCTTTGAGTTCTTGGTCATGAACTCTTTGCGTAAGCCAATGTCTAGAAGAGTTTTTCTGATGTTATCTTCTAGAATTTTTATGGTTTCAGGTCTTAGATTTAAGTCTTTGATCCATCTTGAGTTGATTTTTGTATAAAGTGAGAGATGGGGATCCAGTTTCATTCTACATGTGGCTTGCCAGTCATCCCAGCACCATTTGTTGAATAGGGTGTCCTTTCCCTACTTTATGTTTTTGTTTGCTTTGTTTAAGATCAGTTGGCTGTAAGTATCTGGCTTTATTTCTGAGTTCTCTATTCTGTTCCACTGGTCTGTGTGCCTATTTTTATACCATGACCTTGCTGTTTTGGTAACTATAGCCTAGTTTGAAGTTGGGTAATGTGATACCTCCAGATTTGTTCTTTTTGCTTAGTCTTGCATTGGCTATGTGAGCTCTTTTTATGGATCCATATGAATTTTAGGATTGTTTTTTCTAGTTCTATGAAGAATGATGATGGTATTTTGATGGGAATTGCATTGAATCTGTAGATTGCTTTTGGCAGTTTGGTCATTTTCCCAATATTGATTCTACCCATCCGTGAGCATGAAATGTGTTTCCATTTGTTTGTGTCATCCATGATTTCTTTCAGCAATGTTTTGTAGTTTTCCTTATAGAGGTCTTTTACCTCCTTGGTTAGGTATATTCCTAAGTTTTGGGGGTTTGTTTGTTTGTTTTGCAGCTGTCATAAAAAGAGATTCCGTTCTTGATTTGATTCTCAGCTTGGTCATTGTTGGTGTATAGCAGTACTACTGGTTTGTGCAGTTGATTTTGTATCCTGAGATTTTACTGAATTCATTATCAAACCTAGGAGCTTTTTGGATGAGTCTTTAGGGTTTTCTAGGCACATGATCATATCACCGTTAAACAGCAACAGTTTTAATTCCTCTTTACTGCCTTGGATGCCCTATATTTCTTTCTCCTGTCAGATTGCTCTGGCTAGACTTCCAGTACTATATTGAATAGTAATGATGAAAGTGGGCATCCTTGTCTTGGTCTAGTTCTCAGGGGAAATGCTTTCAACTTTTCCCCATTCAGTATAATGTTGGCTGTGGGTCTGTCATAGATTGTCATTATTACCTTGATGTCAATTGACATAGTCCCTTCTATGTCAATCTTGCTGAGAGTTTTCATCATAAAAGGATACTGGATTTTGTCAAATGCTTTTCTGCATCCATTGAGATGATCATAGGATTTTTGTTTTTAATTGTTTATGTGATATGTCAAAATTATTGATTTGTGTATGTTAAACCATCCCTACATCCCTGGTATGAAACCCACTTGATCATGGTGTGTTATCTTTTTGTTATGCTGTTGGATTCAGTTAGCTAGTATTTTGTTGAGGATTTTTCCATCTATGTTCATCAAAGATATTGGTCTGTAGTTTTCTTTTTTTGTTACGTCCTTTACTAGTTTTGGTATTAGGCTGATACTGGCTTCATAGAGTGATTTAGAGAGGATTCCCTCTTTCACTATCTTTTAGAATAGTTTCAGTAAGATTGGTACCAATTCTTCTTAGAATGTCTGATAGGATTCAGCTGTGAATCCGTCTGTTCCTGGACTTTTTTTGTTGGCTATTTATTTTACTACTGTTTCAATCTCACTACTTGTTATTGGTCTGTTCAGAATTTCTGTTTCTTCCTGATTTAATCTAGGAGGGTTGTATATTTCCAGGAATTTATTCATCTCCTCTAGATGTTCAAGTTTGTGTGCATAAAGATGTTAATAGTAGCCTTGAGTGATCGTTTGTATTTCTGTGATATCGGTTGTAATAACTCCTGTTTCATTTCTAATTGAGCCTATTTGGATATTCTTTTCTTGGTTAATCTCCCTAATGGTCTATTGATGTTTATCTTTTCAAAAAAACAGCTTTTGTTGCATTTATGTTTTTTTTTTGTTGTTGTTGTTGTTGTTGTTTCAATTTTATT